ATGATCCATGTGCACTTGAGAAGAATGTATATTCCATGTGCATTTGAGAAGAATGTGTCTTTGTGGTGAAGTGTTTTGAAAATGTCAATCAATTCCATCTGGTCTAGTGAGTCATTTAGGATGGATGTTTCCTTGCTGATTTTTTGTTTAGAGGATTTGTCCAATGTTGATAGTGGGGTAATAATGTCTCCTACTATGATTTTATTGCTGTTAATTTCTCCCTTTATATCCTCCAGGAGTTTTTTTTTTTTATGTATGTGAGTGCTCCTGTATTAGGTGCATATATGTTTGCCAGAGTTATTTCTTCTTGTAGGATTGCTCCCTTTAGTATCATGAAGTGGCCTTCCTTATGTCTTGTTAAGTCCTTCACTTTGAGATCTAATTTGTCAGATATAAGTATTTCTACCCCAGCCTTTTCTTTTCTTTTTTTCATTTTCATTTGCCTGGAAAACCATTTCCCATCCCTTTCTTCACCGTCAGTCTGTGTGGGTTGTTTTTTCTGAGGTGGATTTCTTGTAGACAGCAGATATATTAGTCTTGATTTCTTATCCTATCCTTTGCCCTATGTCTTTTGAGTGCAGCCTTTAATCTATTTACATTTAAAGATATTATTGATAGGCCCTTATATGTTGCCATTTTTATTCTTTACCTCTGTGTTCCTTCTTTGCTTCCTATTGTTTTTTTTTTTTTCAGCCTACCCTTTAGCCTTTCTTGCATTGCTGGTTTGGAGGTAATAAATTCCCTTAGTCCTTTTTTGTATGTGAGTATCCTGATTTCATCTTCAATTTTTAAAAAAATATATATTTTATTAATTTTTTTACAGAGAGGAAGGGAGAGAGATAGAGAGCTAGAAACATCGATGAGAGAGAAACATCGACCAGCTACCTCTTGCACACCCACTACCGGGGATGTGCCCACAACCAATGTACATGCCCTTGCCCGGAATCGAACCTGGGACCTTTCAGTCCGCAGACCGACGCTCTACCACTGAGCCAAATCGGCTTTGGCATTCATCTTCAATTTTGAATGATAGCCTTGCTGGGTACAGTATTCTTGGAAACAGACCCTTCTTTTGCATGATTTTGTATATTTCATACCATTCCCTTCTGGCCTGATGAGTTTCTGTTGAGAAATCAGTTGCTAGTCTGATGGGGGTTCCTTTGTATTTAACTTTCAGTCTATGGCCAATTTAAGATTCTTAATTTGTCGTTGGTGTTTGCCAATTTAATTATAATGTGGTCTTTTGGGGTTCATTTTGCTTGGGACTCTGTGAGCTTCTTAGATTTGTGTGGGTTTTTTCTTCCCTATATCAGGGAAATTTTCTGTCATTATTTATTCAAACAGGTTTTCTATTCATTGCTCAGTTTCCTTTCTTTCCGGAACCCCTATTATGCAGATGTTGTTTTGTTTCATGTTGTCCCAAATTTCCCATAGGCTCTCTTCTTGCTTTTTAATTTTTTTTTCTAGAAGCTGCTCTAGTTGGATATTTTTCTTCACCTTATCTTCTAGCTCAATAATGCGGTCCTCTGCTTCTTCTAGTCTACTCTGGATGCTCTCTATTGAGTTCTCTTTTGCAGAAATGTCATTTTTCATTTCTTCTTGGTCCTTCTTTATTTCATCTTGGTTCTTACTTATATTGTCAAATTTGTCTTCCATTCTTTTTAGCCACCTTATCACCATTTCTCTGAATTCTGTTTCTGACAGATTGCTTGCCTCTATTTCGTTTACTTCCTTTTCTGGTGATGCCTAGTTTTCTTTCATATGCGAGCTGTTTATTTGTCTCCCCATGGTCTCTCTTCTCAGGATGTCTGGTTATGTATTTCTCTCTCTCCTTATCCAAAGCAAAATCTGATCTTTCCTTGTTGGAATGTAGAACTCCGAATGCACGTGTTTGTGCCAATTGGGGACTGGTTTTCTAGGGTGCCACAGTTGTAGATTTCCTGGCTTCTGATAACACCCACTTTCCCCTTTAAGATGGTGTCGTCTCTGTGTACAAGCCAGTGGCTCTGGGATGGAACCCAGCAGCAGTGGGTCTGCCCAGTCAGGGGAACCCCATCCAGCAGTCCACCCCACCTTCCCCTGGAGTATAGCTGTCTTTTAACTCACCAACAAACACTCCCTGTGCGACCCTCAGCTGTTCTTTCTTTCTGCTCTGGGACAAGTCTTGGGACACGTCTGTTTATTCTGCAGCCATTTTTTTTGGTCTCCATTGTACTGTTCACATTTGGCTCTGTTGACTAATGAGTTTGATGACCACTGGATTAGAGCATTGACCTATGAACCAGGAAGTCAAGGATCCATTCCAGGTCTGGGCACATGTCTAGTTGCAGGCTCCATCCCCAGTGTGGGGTGTGCAGGAGGCAGCTGATGAATGATTCTCTCTCATCATTGGTGCTTCTGTCTATCTCTCCCTCTCTGAAATCAATAAAACAAATATATATATATATATATATATATATATATATATATATATATATATGAAAATACTTAATCTGTCTTTGCTGGCTTTGAAGATGGAGGAAGGGGACTATTATGTAAGGGGCGTGGATATCTTTTAGAAGCTTGAAAAGGCAAGGATCTGGATATTTCTTTTTTTTTTTAATGTGTTTTATAAATTTTAGAGAGGAAGGGAGAGGGAGAGAGTGATAGAAACATCAATGATGAAAGAGAATCATTGATTGGTTGCCTCCTGTTCACCCCCTACTGGGGATCGAGCCCACAGCCCAGACATGATCCCTTGTTCAGAATCGAACCTGGGACTCTTCATTCTACAGGTTGACGCTCTATCCATTGAGCCAAACCAATGGGGCTAGATATTTCTTATAGGTTTTAGAAAGAAGACAATCCTGACATCTTGATTTTGGGTCTGTGAAATCCATTTCAGATTTCTGACTTTCAGAACTGTAAAATAATATGTTTGTGGAGCTTTAAGTAACCAAATTTGTAGGTAATTTGTTATAGCAGCAGTTGGATACTAATCTTGGTGATTATTACTCTATTTACAATCCCTTCACTTCTGGCTTTTCTAAACTTTCTTTATAGGGAAATGTAATTTTAAAGACTTCTCCAAAACCAAAATGGATCTTCCTATCAGTGTGCACACTATTTTCCAGCTCCTAGCTAATCTTTTTTTTTTTAAATATATTTTATTGATTTTGTACAGAGAGGAAGGGAGAGAGATAGAGAGTTAGAAACATCGATTAGAGAGAATCATCGATCAGCTGCCTCTTGCATACCCCCCACTGGTGATATGCCCGCAACCCCTTGACTAGAATCGAACCCTTCAGTCCCCAAGCCGACACTCTATCCATTGAGCCAAACAGGTCTCGGCTCCTAGCTAATCTTAATGTCAAGGAAGCTACCTGTTAAGAGTAGCCCCTATTGCCAGAGTGACTCAGTTAATTGAGCATTATTCCATGCACTGAAAGATTTTAGGTTAAATTCCTGGATCCCAGTTGGGGCTCCTGTGGATGGCAACCAATGGATGTTTCTCTCTCATTCACATCTAGGTCTCTGTCTCTTTAAGCATGTACTTAGGTGAAGAGAATTAAAAAAAAAAAAGAGTAGTCACCATTCTCTGCAATGGACAATGGACAACGGACAACGAATAAGGGGCCTCTTAGGTAAGCTGCAAGGCTATATTCAAAACATCCTCTTTTTAGGTTTGCCACTTCCACATGGAAAATCATGTGCTTTAATCAATGGTCTATGCAATGAGTTGGGACATAAAAACCGTGTTCTGAGATCCTCTTTAGTGAAAAGTGAACTAATTTTGGCTGGCTTTTTTTTTTTTTTTTTTTTTGCCAGGGGGTTCTGAACTTAACTTAGAGGTCCTGCTGGTGGAAGGCCCATCAGAATGAAATCAATAGGCAGAGAAAAAGAAGTTGGTAAGTCAGAGGGAGGTGGCAAGGAAAACAAATAAACAGTCCAGCCAGATAATGGTAAATGAGAAATGGCCTTCCACAATATCTTCCCGTGCTCTGTTCCAGTTTCTGAAAATTTCCACGTAAGACTCCAGGGTGGCGCACCTACCCCTGGAGGCTGGGCTGGGCCCGCGAGCCTGGGGCAGGCTGGAAATGCCTGTCTGGAAAAGCTGCCACTGGGGCGGGGTGGTCTGGAGATCCATGGGAGGAGTCTTGAGGGGTGGAAAGACTACATCTCCCAGATCTCCACGCTTTCCATCTGGAGTCCTAAGGCGCTGACTGCTCCTCAGTTTCCGTAGGGAAGCGCCGGGCTACTGCACCTATTGTGTGTCGCGCTCTCGCTCTCCGCTTCCCGCTCTGGTGTCTGTGGAGGAAGCCTACGTTTCATTGCCGCCTCGGCTTAACCCCTCCGGTGCCTCACTGGACTGTAAGCCGGCTCCCTGCGACCAGGAAAAACTCCTGGGAGCTGGAGGACTCCGGTAACAAGACCCTAGGGTGCAAAGAAGTCAGTTGAAGAAGGAGCATGAGTGCTAGGGCTAGGTACCCCAGCTTTGCTGGGGTGGGACTAAGCCGCTGGCTTTAAGAAAAGGGGGGAGGGGGAGAGTGTAATCTGGGTTGCCAGCGGACTTCTGCAAAGGAAATTTGCTAGCTCGGAAGCGAGGAGCAGGGAGGAGGGGCGGCTCCCATCCCCAGCTCCCGCCCCGCCTACACCTTGGGCGGGCTGAAGTGTCACGTTTGCAGTTGCTATCCGGCCCGTCTTTGGAGGACAGCTGGGCTGCGGTTTCTGCCGCCGGTTTGGGGAGGTGATGCCTAGGGAGTATGCTGATTGCTAGGAAGAACCCCGCTGGGATCCTACTGTCTTAGTTAGCTCTCCTGGTCACCTGAAGCAATCCTTGGATCGCCAGTTTCCGGTACAGACCAGCCAGCTGTCTCCAGGAATCTCATCAGAACAGGTATCTGCCCTCCAAAGGGAGGGAAGCTGCTTATAATCCATCCCATCAACTACCCCTAGTGTGCCACTGATGCTCTTGCTCTTTGTGTCTTTCTTTTCTCTTCCCAACCTCCGCCACCAGAAACATGGGGCATCCCCCTCTGGAGTTCAGGGACTGCTACCTGGACAGCCCTAATTTTCGTGAGAGGCTCAAGTGTTATGAGCAGGAGCTGGAGAGGACCAATAAATTCATCAAAGACGTGATCAAAGACGGCAACGCGCTTATCAGCGCAATGAGAAGTAAGTGAAAGGCATGGGGATGAGGTGTGTCCTTCCTTGATCCGGTGGTTCCGGCCTTCAAGCTTTTTTTCACCGCTGGGGGAAGGGAGGATTTAGAACATTGGGCCATTACCTTTAGTGGCCTTGACCTTGTAAGTCACGATCTATTGCTGTGCCAGGGACCCTCTTGCTCTTCAACTATCATGGCACATTGCTCCAAAGGGACGATCTGCCTGTACTGTCAGACATATTTAGCACCCGTGCCTGCAAGGGGACATCCAAGCTGACCAAGTAACTGTTCCAGCACCTCCTAAAGAATTACAGCGGGGAGGGGAGGGAGATCTGGGGGAGATAATAGATCAACTGAAGGACTTGTATACATGCATATAAGTACAACCAATGGACACAAAACTCTGGGGCGGGGGAGGCAATGTTAAAATATGTACACAGATAATAATTTAATAAAAACAAAACAAAACAAAAAAGAAACCCAAAAGACAAATTTGAAAGAAAAAAAAAAGAATTGGGAATTAGGGTCAGCAGCTTGAGTAGTAGTTTTGCCCTGGTTTCTAGTTGCTACAGATAAGTGTGGGGACAATAAAATATTCCCCATGGCAAGTTATTTTCTAAGGAAAGCACGTTTTCTCCGGTAATTTTTTTTTTTTAAGTTAGTGAGCTATGGTTTTGGTTAAGCTCAGTCTAAACCCAGAATTATTGGATGGCCTCACATGCCATTGAATTCTGCTTGAGTGTGGAACAAAGACCTGCCTAGTTCCTGGCATAAGGAGCCTCCTCCCCATCCCCCCAGGGAGCAAATTATAGGGCTAGGGTTGGGAGCCATAGGACTCAAGGAACCTCACCTCGCTTGGCTTTACCAGTGGTCACAGACAGCTGTGGGACTCTGACTCCCCACCCCCAGTGTGTGGAGTTTTTATTTCTGCAAGTTAGCAGAAGGCTTGGCATAAGAGAAAGAATAATAAACATTCCCAACAAGAGTGCAGGAAAATCAACCATTTGTGCCAAAGTATATACCCAGAAGAATGGGATAATAGTGATTGGGTGGAGTGATCATTATTTTTTTTATTTTCTTGGCTGAAAGATGCTTGTGAAAAATAAAATCAGACTCCCTGGCAAAAATGTCCTGTATGCTTATAACTTTGTTTTGAGTGGATTTATCCCAAACACACTGTGTCCAGGTCCAGTGTGGAGACCTTCTTAAGGCAGATGCAGCCAACCAAGAGCAGGGAGGGAGAAAGGCTTGGAGCACCATTACACTGGTAACTACTACCAGCTGGTATTTGTTGTGTAGCTCTTCCGATTTGCCCCTTGGAATCTGTGCTTTCCTGGAACATGCTGTCTGGCTACTTTATTTATTTATTGTTATTTATTTATTTATTTGTTTTAAAATGTATTTTTATTTATTTCAGAGAAGAAGGGAGAGAGAGAAAGAGAGATAGAAACATCAATCTCAAAGAGAGGAAATCATTGGTTGGCTGCCTCCTGCACACTCCTACTGGGGATCAAGCCTACAACCTGGGCCTTGTGCCCTCGACAACCGGTTTGGCTCAATGGATAGAGCATCGGCTTGGGGACTGAAAGGTCCCAGGTTCTATTCCGGTCAAGGGCATGTACCTTGGTTGTGGGCATATCCCCAGTAGGGGGTGAGCAAGAGGCAGCTGATCGATGACTCTCTCATGAATGTTTCTAACTATCTCTCTCCCTTCCTCTCTGTACAAAATCAATAAAATATATTTAAAAAAAAAAAAAAGAATCAAACCCAGGACCTTTTAGTCTATAGGCTGATGCTCTGTCCACTGAGCCAAAGTGTCTAGGGCCTGTCTGCCTACTTTAGTCAAAAAATATAAATTGTCCAAGTGCCTGCCTGTCGTTTGATTGACTTTGCTCATTTAATGGTTTGTCCTGCTGTGGCAGCATCTTAAAGATGGGCTATTTGATGTTGATCCTTAGGAGAGACTTATAGGCTTTGGGATGTTTCCTCACTGACAAGTTCATTTAGAGATTAAAATACGCAGGTTGTGCCACAAAAGTAGTTAGAAAAGCGAGCGTTCACCAAAAGGAAAAGGGGGAATGTTCGTTTTATTTATTTATTTATTTATTTATTTATTTATTTATTTATTTACTTATTCCAGTAAACTGCTTGGTGCAGTATCCATAGTCAAGTAAAGCTCCTTATAAAAGCCCAGGAAGGAAGTGGCTTTATGAAGTATAAGGCAACTTGAAAGTGTTTGTGCTAAAATGAAATGACCAGCAAAGGCACATCGTAGAGGTTAAGATTCATAAAAAAAGTAAATAATTCAATGAAACATTTGAGGAAGGCAAACGCTCAGTAAGCTAGGGGCAAGAATTAATTTTATTCTTTCATTTTCTGAGACTGAGCCTGGTAAGAGTCAATAATTATGCAGGCCTAGACCTTTGAATATGTGCAAAAGATCCAAGAGCTATTTTGACCCAGGGGCATTCTTGATATTTTACATTGGCTTTCTGTTTCTGAATATGCATAGAAAGCCCAAAAGAAGACAAGTAGGAAAAAAACCAAGAAGCTAACCCATACTCCATTTCTTTCCTGTAAGTTGCATGATTCTAAACTGTAATTAGCAAGAGGCAAAGGCTGGATGTTTTTCAGTGTGTTGACCACAGTAATATTTATACTCCCACTTGCTTCTTCATCTGTGCTAGCAGGGCATCAATTTGAGAGTAGGTGGGGGTGGGAGTAAAACGAATGTAGACTCTTGCTTTGTGTGGAAGAAAAAGGAGAATTGGATTTTTAAGACTTGGGTTACCATCCTGGCTTCACCTACTTAGGATAAGATGGCACAAATCAATTACTTCATCTGTAGAATGGGGGTAATTATACCCACCTCACAGGACTTTTGTAAGGCTCAAAGAAGGTAATAGATTATGAAAGTGCTTTGTAAATGGAAACAGCTAAACATTGTAAGTTGTTCATAATATAGCTTCAGTTTAATAATATATCTGCTGTTGAATATGTATTTGTCAGGAGGTTTCCAAAAGGAAATGCATCAGCAGACATAGTTGGGAGCATATTTTTGTTATCATCTTGTTGGAAAATGTCACAGCAGTTCATTTTGTATTAATGTGTGTGGATTCATTTTGGGTTTTGGAGTCTGGCATTAAAAGTCAGGGGGCCGAAACTGGTTTGGCTCAGTGGATAGAGCGTCGGTCTGTGGACTGAAGGGTCCCAGGTTCGATTCTGGTCAAGGGCATGTGCGTTGGTTGCAGGCACATCCCTGGTGGGGGGTGTGCAGGAGGTGCTGGTCGATGTTTCTCTCTCATCGATATTTCTAACTCTCTATTCCTCTCCCTTTCTCTCTGTGAAAAATCAATAAAATATATTTTTAAAAAGTCAGGGAAATGATTAATACCTTATTTATTTAAATTATGAAGCTGATCATGGAATCAAATGGCCAGTGTTTCTAGGAATTAATGAAACATGGTGCATGGTGCTGTAAACCCCCACTGCATTTTTGTGACAGTTGTTAGCCTAGGTGGAACTTGATTCTTACATTTATCCTGCTGGTGTCTGATTTTGTATAGAGCTCTAGATGAGGTTTTAGTCACAGTGATGCTGAATTTATTAAATGTAGGTCCGGTTTGAATATATAGATTTATTTAGCTCTGTGCTCAGAGGTAATTGATGCTATTAATGATATTCAACCTGTTTTCCTTGGGGACATGGTTGATTCCCCTTTAAATCTGATCCATTTATAATTGTTGAAGTACAGGATGAAGCTTATAACTTAAAGTAATGAAAATAAACACATTGCTACTCTGAAGGTGAATAATATTGTCCTTTTTTTCTGTTTGTTCTTTGTTTTTATGTTGACAGTTTTGGTCCCTGATGTATCTCAGTATATTCTAAGCTCTCAAACTAGGTATTCGGAACAAGTATCTTGTGGCTCCTGCTTATTTCCCAATGGAACATGATATACCTTATAAGTGTTATAGTTCCATAAATACATACCATTTATTCAGTAAATATTTTGTGCACATACTGTATTCAAGTCATTGTTCTCAGGGCTGTCACAGATGTGACAGAGTGAGTCACAGATGGATCCTGTCCTTAAGGAGTTCCCAGATAAGATTTAAGGAGAGATCAGTATTGTATAAGGTAGTAAATATGGATCAGAGCCATAAGAGTGGGACAGATGGATGCCACTTGTGTGAGACATCAGAACGAGAGCTCATTGCCCAATGGGAGAACAAAGAAAAAGGAAGAAGGAGCATTGGAATTGGACAGAATGAATAACACTTACCACTTGTTTAGCTGTTCCCACGTGCAATGTATCCAAATCTTGCAACAGACTTAAGAGGTAAGAATTATTATTCTCATGTTATAGATGAGAAAACTGACCCTTAGAGGCCTTATGTAACTTTCTTTACTAATAAGGCAAGAGTCTGAATTAGAACCCAGACCTGACCCTAAAGCCCTGCTTATTTTATTGCATTGCACTGTATTCAGGACAGTGCATTTATTGGGTTAGTAATGACACAGAATGTAAAGGGACAGCAACTAATTTCAAATCATATGGAATATGAGTGCAGGAAGGGAAGTTTGGGAGATAAAGTTAAAATGGAGGTTTAGGTCCTGACCATGCAGGAACTGTTAAATACTTCAGACTTTAAAATATATATATTGATTTCAGAGAGGAAGGAAGAGAGAGGTATAGAAATATCAATGAAGAGAAAGAATAATTGATTGACTGCCTCCTGCACACCCCACACTGGGGTTCAAGCCAGGAACTCAGACATGTGCCCTAATTGGAAATTGAACTGTGACCTCCTGGTTCATAGGTTGATGCTCAACCACTGAGCGACACTGGCTGGGCACTTCAGACTTTTAAAAATTAAACTTATTGGGTGACATCATATGATTCTTAACTTTTTCTATCTGACTTATTTCACTTAGCATAATATTCTCAAGGTCCATCCATGTTGTTGCAAATGGCAGTATTTTCATCTTTTCTTATGGCTGAGTAGTA